TACGACAGTTGAGTATTGCATAAAATATAATGTAGTGTCAAGTAACTTAATGTACATTTCTAGCAACGTTACAATTTCAATTAGTGATATTGACTTATCACGATAAATGTTTCTGGCATTACTCAAAAGACAGTTATTATAGTAAGAGAAAATTATATTTATGGTACATTTGATAACATTAAACAATATATCATGTTTAAGTAGGTGTGATTCAGAAGTTAATTTTGAAATTGAATAAAATATAACGATATGATATAGAAACAATTACACGAATAATATATTAAATACATGAATCAAGTAAATTTATTTATTATTTAAGCGAATAATATTATATCAATTGCTGTGAATGTTATAATATTCGTACTTAATTTAATAAATAGTCAAATTATTTATTTTTTAATAATTATTTAGTTTGGTAATTTTATCCATGTTTATTTAGATTTCACGAGTTTTATATTTTAGAGAATACTGTAAGGAAAATACAATATATTTAGAAGTTTAAATTATAAAATAACTATTTATTTTTATTATTTTCATTTGAAAACTTTTTCAAAAGTCTTAAAAAAATCACATAAGAAGGTTCTTTTTAATTAATCTGAAATATTTCATTGAATTATTGTTCAAATTTACAAATGTTCGATAATAACGATACGTTTTTTTTTTAGATATTTAATATACTACGTTTATATTTTTATGTTTAATAATATTTATAACTCAATGTCTATGTAGTAAAAAATTATTTAAATTATTTTTATTTACAAATTCAAAAATATTAAATACTTATAAATAGCTTAAAATTACTTAAAATTGGACTTTTTGATATTTCAATAAGTAAAATTTAAGAGGAGCCTTTTTATTAATTTTAAAGCTTTTTGATGAAGTATTAAATATTTTATCAACATTTGTTGATAATAAATCAAAGTCAACAAATTTAAATGTCTATAGATTACTCTAAAATGCCATAATATTTTGAAAATTATTTTATTACTAAAAATTGCTAATAAAAAATATATTTGGCAGATATTTTAAGTATTCACTGCTATTTGGTTTTAATATTTATTGGCGTTTTGTAAATATTTTAATGCTTAGTATTTTTATTAGTTTTTTTTTTTTTTTTTTTTTTTAATATTTTAAAGAGTGTATGGAATTCAACCTTCAAAAATATTAAAAAGAACCAATTTTCTATCAAAAACAACTGTCAAAGTTAAAGATTAAAGCATTTTTTTCAACTATAGAACATATACAAAAAAAAAAAAAAAAAAAATCAAAAACTATTGTAAAACCAATATTACATTAGCAATAATCATTCATTGTTTTGCCCCGTTACAGTATTAAATTTTGATAAATATAAAATAGTATGCGTATACTTGGTATAAAATAATATAGAAAGTCAGGACGACTCGAGTGAAGGGATATTGCTACTTACAACTACAACTGTCAATGTAAATACATTGTTGAAGTAGGTATATTATATTATTAATTTATAATTAGTTAATAACAGTGCAAAAAATAATTGATAGAAAGGCTCACTGTCGAAACACTTGATGGCTTTAAATAACTTGAAGTTTCAAATACTGTTTTAGTTTGTTATCACTGTACGATAATATACATTTTTGAATTCACGAAACTGTATATACACATAAAACTATAACTGATTATCTAAAATTGTATATTGTAGATATTTGTGATCTTAAGATTAAAGCGGGTTTACCAATATTAATATGTTTAGTGCATTTTGTGATATATACCGCGCTGATTAGGTACCTTTTATTCGTATACTATATTGTTACGCCACATTATTGTATCTTGCAGTATATACGAGGTCCAAAGACAGATAAAAGCCATCAATAACATTGAACTGTGTTTAGTGTAGATATCTATGCCAGCCGTACGTTGTCGTTGGCATGGATTATTACAGATTCATATTTTCATGTTTATCTATCACGTTTATTTAGAATCGAGAACGCCGTTGGCAGGGTTATACGATCAAATCGTATTCAAACGGTTCAAACGTCAATTGCATGAGCAGCTGGAATACAAAACACAGGGGTACAGTTCTGACGCTGCATGTCAACCATCACTTTGTCTCGGATCGCATGTTCCCGCAATTATCAAATTCGTTTTCCAGATTTCGCGGTACTCGGGACGTTTCCAGCGAACCCAAGCATATACCCTTCCATTCGGGGCACGACCGTTGGGAAACTCGTGACAGCGTGTTGTTTTTTGCGAATTTCCGCCGTAAGATTCGCGAGTCAAATATTGAAACGTACCTACGTTTTTCGAGCGGTAATCGCGTGAGGATGTAAAGCCTTACGAGAGATATTGTTTACACGCACCCCGTGGGATGTTAACATGTCATTTATTTGTTGAACTCGTGTTCAACTAATTAATACGCTTACTGCTATGATTATTATTGGGCGAATATTGTTGTTCTTTTCGTTTTTTTTTTTTTTTTTACTCCATCGTTCCACAATTCGTTCTGTCTATTCGCGGAATTTTCACATTAACAAAGTCTGGGTGTAAGACTTTCCCCTCATCGCGCTGAAATGAGTTCAATTTTCACAGTTTCCATTAATATTGATCGTACGCAATGACACATTAAACGAGCGTTTATCAGCCGGTCACCGTGATACCATACATCTACCGACGTCGCGAAGCCATCATGTTGAAAAGTCACATAATTTGTTGAATACAACAAATAAAAGTGATAGTGTAAATTGGTAAAAATATACGTGACAATATTATATTGTGTTTTGTTTTATTTAATTGACTTAAACGTGTAAACGCTTTCGGGGATGGTCATTTTTACCCCATTCATAATCCATGGGGACTACTTTTTTAGTAAAATAAGTTGTTTTTAAATAACTAAAATGTTATTTTTTTTTTGCTGTACAATTAATGTATCAAATTACTATGAATTTACACATCCGTTATTGAGTTTTTTTATACTTCTATTTATTCATTAATGACATTAGATTGTCAATTCTAAACTGAAAAAAAATAATAACAAAATGTAACTAAATATTTAATATATATTATTTAAAGTTTATACTATTTTAATGTAAAAAAAAAAACTGGAATTCCACTATGTCGTATAGAAGCTTTCAAGTGCATCTCGTCATTGAGTAGATTACTTTCATGGATGAGTTCAATTTAAATACAATGATAAAATTCCACTATAAAAAAACCAATTCTGAGCATAAACGATACGTTAAGTTTATAATTTACATTATTATTTATATGGTACTGTAGACTCATGATATTTTTTGGGTAGAATTAATTAATTTTCTTAAAACTTACATACTGCTAATACTTGTGTCAAGTAGAATCTCGCAGATAAATATTTTAAAAGAAATACATTAAGGAAGAGGGTTGTCTTTTTTGAACCCTCCCCCCTTCACCCATAAGATAAATATGCACCATTGATATAGTTTATTCAAATAATTATTTTTAGTTTTAGGTTAAATAATAATTAAATATTGCATAATATGTTACATTGTTTTATTAATTTATAATACTGATATAAATACTGATGAAAAAAATTGGTGGTATAAATATATTTTATTGTAGTCAAATGGTGTGTTTCTATTTTTTACAATTTATATATTTATTTATAATATATAATCGTAAACATATTAATCGTTTTAAATTGGCTAAAAATGATTATTTATTTTGAAAATTAAACTATGATTGTAATTAATTATATAAATATTAGGTGAAAATTATAAAAATGAAATATCTATGGTTATTTCTTACACAAAATAAAAAAAATAAAAATAAAATTTTTCCAAAGGTCAGTGTTCCATTTGAATATTGTTGTCTTTACGTTTTTTTTTTGTTAGATTTTTTCTAACTTTAATATAAGTATTAATATTTTCTAACTTTTGATGTCTCTAAGTACCAACTAGATCTAATTAATTACCAGATATCATCCTTAATGTTTAGAATTGTAGCATCATGTTCTGTGTCAAAATGTAACAAACAGATACAAAATTATTAAAAAAATACTTCATTGAAGTTCATATACTTTCTTTGCGCCATTTTAAAATGTAAAAAAAAATGTATTATAGCATCTCGTACAATATTACACTTAACAATGTTAAAAAAAAAAAAAAAGAATTTAACTTAATCAATTATCATTATTGCTTATTTACGTGAATAATAAATAAAATGTACTTACAAAGTTATGAGATAATAACCATGTTGATTTCGTTATAATATATAATTATTAAATATTACACTATCATTACACATATGGTAATATGTAAATTGTAAAGTGTAGACAATAGTAGTCAAGTTAATATAATATTATTTTAATTAAAAATAATTATCCATCAACTTTCATAACCACATAAGGAATTATTATAAATTATTTAATGTTATGTGATAGACTATAGCGTCTATAGTCATCTTCAACATCAAGACGATTAATAAACAAAAGTTTAACAATTTATAATTATTGTGCACATATAGGCACAGAAACATTTAGACATAATCGCAATAAACAATAGCAGGCATACTATCAACTTTTTTCAGTTAAAACTACCTAATGTAATAATGTTTTGTAATTTTTTTTTTTTTTTATCACTATTTCTCAAACTTATATTTGACGCTGTTTCTTTGCCTTGATTTACTATATCTAAGTTATAATTAAAAATTAGCGATGAGATTTAATAATTTTATACATCGCCTCAAATTATTATCCTTTAAATGTCTAAAACTATATAGATTGTTTTATCCTAATTTATATTATAAAAATGAAGTTTCCAATGTCGCATTTTTTGCTGAATATTTGTATATCAAACTTATGCCATTTATGATAGTACATGAATTACGAATTATAAATATAAAAGTTATGTATATTATGATGTTAAATTGTTAACAAGTTTAGTTTAGATAATATAATTTTACCTTTAACATCTAGTGTAGATAATATGTATGTATATGTGTAGTCATATTAAAACGTTTTTGTTACAGATTTAATTGTAAAAATCGCAGAGATGTTTTGTCCGTTCAGTTCCAGTGCTCCACCAAGAGCAAACGTAACACAGACTGAACAACAACAACCTTTGAATCTGAAGCATCTTAGCGAAGCTGTCAGAACTCTTACTTCGCCACCAGTGAGTATAATATTGACGATTGTATAATAATATACTTTTGTACAATAAATGTACAATGGGTATATTGAGTATAGTAACTATTATTGTGTATACGCATGCGAATGAGGGTAAAAAAAATCGGGTTTGTACACAACTATGACTGTTGCACATTAAACAAAGTACGTTCATTGTACACAATATTATTACTTATTCGTGTTCTCTATTTCTCGTCATATTATTATTAAACCATCGTACTTTTTCATCTTTATTGTGATGAGAAAAAAAATAATAATAAATAAATAAGAAGTTTATTGGAGTGCATTATAATAATTACTGTATCATTGAAGTTTAAAATTTTAATTATAAACTTTGTTACTGACAGAAATAAATAATACTGGTTTTAAAATCTTGAGCCAATAGATGTTTTTTTGATAGTAAAATGCAATACGTCATGTAGGCTATAGGTGATAAGACACTATTCATTATATTATCCTCGATACCCAATTTAACGTTTTAAAAATACTGAAATTCAATATAGCTACCACATATTTCATACTTTGTAAAAATAAAAAAATAATTGAGTAAATTGATAAGATTTAAAATAAAATAGAAGTAAAACTATTATTATTTTTTCTTAATTATACGTGAAATATATACCTATTACTAACCATTCTATAGTGGAGAAAGGAAGCAAAGAAAAAGAAGAATATATTTAATTAAAATATTTAAAATAATTGTTTCTTAAATTTTACAAAAATATTATAATCCTTTATGGTCTTTATGTATTTTATATCGTTTGACATAGTTTACAAGTTTAATTATCTGAACATATTTACTACGGTTTATTTATTTATGCATTTACACCTGTGAAATTAAAATTAAAAGATGATCTCAAAATATCAAGTTTTTTAGAAGAGTAATTTTGTTATACTGTAATAATATATTCCATTGTAATGAATGTTTTTTAATGATTGTAAAATTTTAAAAATTAACAAAGTGTCCTACATTAAGTGTTGAAATTTTTATTTATTTAAGCAAAATTTAGTATAAACAATTGCTATTGATGTCGATAAGAAAATGTTGGTTTCAAATTAAACATACGTATTCTGGGAAATAAAATTCGGATAAAAAAAAAATGTGATCTAGTGTTAAAACCAAAATAATATGATACCATTATTTATAGAAATTTTTATTTTATTGATAAATGTACTGTTATATTGCACGGTTTTTGTTATGAATACGATAGGTATAGTACTTTTTACCAATAACTCGTTTATTTTATCGTGTAAATAGACATGATATTGGTTTTAATGTTTTTAATACTGTAGTAAAATTCGAAAGGTTTAACTTACTATTTAGATATTTAGAGATCAATATTATTGACAGATTTGTAAATTATGTTGGTTTAGAATCTTTTTTTATCTAGATATTTTTTTAAATAATACGTCTAAATAGATTTTTGCGAGCTTGAAATATCGACAATTAATAACTCTACGTATGTTTAAACAAAAGTGAAATTTAAAAATATCACAATAATTTAAAAAAATTTGAGTTTTGAGACCATGAATTTAGTTAAACTTGTACAGATGCTTGAATTTCAGTTAAAACATGCAGATCAACTCTACAAGGTTTGGTTGTATGCATACGGGGTTACACATATTGTTATACATTTTGGTATACTTATCCCGGAAGCAAAATTCATTAACGGTTTTAAATTGAATGCGTGGTGGTTACCTTTATGTAGTATTGTTTACACAATGTCACTAAAATTGTTCTCTGCACACCCGAAAATAAGACAACAACGGCACCGTATAATATTATGCCACACTATTCTTTAGGTAAGGGTAATGCATTGTCAGGTTTGTGCGATGTATGTTGTACACTTAGGTATATGCGTTCACTGTGGGTTAATCGACACGCTGAATACACTGTTTACAATTAATTCACCATCCCTAACCATGTCATAAAATATGATATTCGGTATCCGACTACATGGCGATGTTCGTATACGTATGACGTGTCAATTTTCAAAACTCGTGGTGCCGCGTACTATTTACTCGTATATACGAAATATGTGTACTGCGTGTTATAGATAATAAAAGCATTTACAAAATGTACAATGACGTACAAGTTGAATGAGAGGGATAGAGGTTAGTACTGCATTTAATATATATATAAAGTTTTAACACTGCACGTCGACGGGTAGTGGAAATGGTAAGTATATAATATGATATAATAGGTACCGAGTAACATTGTTATCATGGTGAATACCGTACAATAAACATGTTGGGTATACGCAGAGTTGTTTCCGTGACTGTAATATATATTATATACCGTCGAAAAAAAATAGTATTCAAAATAATTTACTACGTATTTATACGGAAATATATATAATAATATAATAATATAAGACTATGCATATCTAATAATATTATACGCCAATCGATGAGTTATACTCAAACCGACATCTCTGCGATTTTATGGCAAATACGTCTATGTATAAAAACTTATTATGGTGTATAGTATACACATACTGATAATTTTATAACTATTACAGGCTATACAGTCTATAACAATTAAATATTTTTGGATTTTTTTACTTGATATAGATTCACATCACAAAATAATTTTGTGAAAATTACATTTTCATTATTTCTATCATTATAAATGTTTGAATTAATGATTTTTTGGTTAAATATCCAACACAAATAAAATATAATATAGATAATATTGTTTATTGTGTTTAATTGGATATAAATGTATGGATTGTAATTCATAATCAATTATAGATATGGTTAAAATATTATTTTTATCAAAAAATAAATTGCAGTATTATGTAGGTATCTACTTATTATGATATCAGATTGATGAAAGTTTTGTTAGTTCATAAAATATTTATTTTTTTTTTTGTTACATTACATTTACCCATATATTATTCGCCGAGGAATATTAAATGTATAACATAAAATAAGCACGTGATCTCTAGAAGCTTTTATCGCGAATGTGGCAATTTCCTCCACATGTTTTTATACCTTATTGATAAATCGCGTAGAACATTAATTTGGCTAGATATATTAGGGGTTAAGGATTCGGTGGTCTTATCTGAAATGTCTGTTATTGTTGTGCTAACAAAGGGCATGTGCGTAATCAATATATAGAATAAAGGAATAGTAGTGGGGAAAAAAGGTTGTCCTTTACGTGCTGGTGCTAGTAGAAAGAATATAGTGTAGTTAAAAAAGCATAACGAAAAAAAAGGCGTGGTTAGAGTTTTAAAGTAAAACGTGTTTACCTAACGTTAAATATAATTCTAATGTTTCTTTCTATATAAGCTTACCTTTTTTTAATTAGATTGGTGAATTTTATATAAACTATTATGAATTTAGTAATCTATGGTAATAACTAAAAGTACTTAGAAAGAGTATAATTTATTTTAGCAACTTTTCTCTTTAGTTTATTAAGTATGGTCCTAATAATGTACGTAAGTATAGTGATAGATTGAAATGTAATTTTATTTGTGGGGCGTTATAAATTATTTTTTTAGAGTTTTGTTTGTATAAACTATAAAAAATTGTAAATCATGTATTGAAATAAGTATAATTTATTGATAATTACTAGAAAATAAAACAAAACATTATCATATCGTCATTGTATTAATATTCTTAATGGAAGAATAAAAATATTTGTAATATTATTATATTCACATTATTATTCATTTTTAAATATCAAAAACATTTATTCATATTTTGCATGAAAACACTTATTTATAATTTAAAATTGAAGTCAAATATTATAGATCAAAGAGGATCACATTAACGATATCACTCTGGAAATAAATAATAAACTTACTAAGCTATAAAATAATTAATTATACAACTGCTTGCTGAAACCATATAACATTATATATTTATTATAATTGCATAAATTTGAATTTCCAACGATAAATAATTCAATATTTACAATATTTTGATGAATATAAAGCTTAATATATATACATATATATATATACTCGTATATATATATATATATAATTTATATATATATTTTCTTAACTTTAAATATATTTTAATAAATATTATTTAGTTTCTATAAGTTTGTATTCTTCTAATGTATAACTTCATATCTTGATCTTAATCAATATCTATCGATTTTTATTGGATGTGATGTATTATATTTCTACAGTGATGTGGGAAAAAAATAGTATGTGCCTTGTTATTATTTTATATTATGCATATACGCATAATAAGAAATGAATCTATAATTTTAATATTATTGTTGTTTATTAGCAATAACACTAAAGACAGTGTTCTTTTAGGCGTTTGGATGTAGTTAATTTAAAGTGACTAGTGAGATAATACTTATCACAAGCCATTTAGATTAAGTCTAGAATTTTAATTACTTATTTCCACATATAAATTATATAAAATACCATAATTACAAGCAAAGCTTTTTAATGTAATAACGTCAACATTAATAGATAAACCTTACAACGGATAAATAATTGACTATAAACGCATTTTAAGCCTATATGTATACATAATATATACATACATAGTTATTATTTCTTTTAAACTTGTAAATGAAATATTTATGAGAAAATAGTTCAGTTTTGCAAGTTTTTAGTTAACCATATAGTAATGTATTTCCTAATCGGCTCAACAAAAACGTTCGTTTCGTAACTTTTTTCTTGTATCATATATCTATATTAAACAAAAAAGTTTATTAAGAGAAATAACTATCTTTCAGTAATATGTCGAAAATAAGTTAACGTTGTTTATGCAAACACATATTATATTTTGTACTTTGTCTTAAGCATCACTTGGATCATAATAATAATATTATCTACTTATTACTAAGTAATAATATACTATACTATACTATTATATCCTTATTACTTATTTTTTCTACTTTTGTTAAATAATACATATAAATAAATATAGTATTATATAATATGCATTTATTGGGTTATAGTTTAATTTTTTTTGTTCTCTTTTAAATAATTCGACCATACTTTTGAGCTAAGA